ACAGTTTTCTTAAATATCAGTGCAGAGAGCACCTGCGTACAACCAAATGAAGTGACTTATTGCGAGAGTGAGGATTATGTGTGAACAGCAGCAGCATTCGACCTGGGGCACAGCCCTTGGTTTGCTACATGGTGCTAAATTGCTTACCTTCGCAGAAAGCCCGTGCTTCCATTTCAACAGAGCCCGCCAGCTCCTCTCACTTTCCATCCCTCCCAAGTGACCAAACTTATTATGCCACGTTAGTAAATCAAAGGTGCAGTCTGAGAATGATAAAACCAAAACAAACCCTTGCATTGTGACTCTTAAGAGTGATCATTATAATCATTACAAGTGCACAGTGCCATGTTCTACCTGCCAGAGGCCGCTGATCCCCCTGGATGGAGCTGCTGTTGGATACCAGCGACGGTGATTGTACAGGGAACTTCTGCAGGGGAGAAGAGGGCAGAGATCCTCAGGAGAGGATCCTCAAAGCTCACCTGAATTCTCTTGCTTTCAGCTGTACCTAACCATTTCAGTCACTGTCAACAGACCTCGCAACTGTTAGTCTTTAGAAGAATGTTTGTGTTGTGTAAGTTGAATAGTTTCAACATTCCCAATGATTGATACTGTATCATTTGCAGTTCTTGGACTGAGAATAGTATACAACTATTTAGCTACACAGTGTTATACTAGAATGTTATTGTTAAAAAGGATTTAAAAATCCAATGCCATAAATATTCAGGAAGCAATTTCTGATTTGGATCTGAATTTCAGAGAATAAAATATTTAATATTGTCTCATCCCAATCAATCAAATTAAAGCAAATGCTATACCCATATAGTTAGTACATTCCATTTTACATGGTTACTCCCTTTTACATGGTTACTGACAGCCTGTCCAACAGGTAAGCTAGTATGGGGTTTGTTGTTTCCTTTTTAAATAGCAAACAGGAGTATTTTGAGCTTAAAATGTACCAAAGGCAGGGTCTGATTTAAAATGTCACAGACTGCAGAGGGTACTCTGGTTTGTAATGCCACCTACAGAAACTCCCAAGGAGATAAACTTGGTGTTGTCATTCAGGTGTTATACCTTGGGTGATAGAGAAAACCTCCCACCCTAGCAGCTGTAGCACACCTGGATGGGCAGCCTCTCGGGGCCTGAAGCCACAGCCCTGCCCTCTGGGCTGCTGGGTGGGATGGGGCTCCGAGGTGGCCGAGCCAGATGTACCAGCAGCACTTCAGCCTGCTTTGGGGTGCCCCAGAGTGCTGGCCTCACTGCCCAGTCCCCTGTCTTCTGCCTTTTCTTTCTCCTTCCTCTGTCTCTGCCTTCCAGAATTGTCACCCATTAACTGTGGAGCATTCAAACAAGGACCTTTCTTTGAAGCCCCATGTTGCCATCAGGAATGTGCTGACTACAGCTGCAGGTGTTGCTGATGGGGAAGCAACCAAATTGAGGGGTGTGTCTGAATGCAGAGCATGGACTGTTTTGTGATCAAAAGACACCTCTGAAATGACAGACTGTCTGGTGCTCAACTATGTCTACAAAGAGATCTGCTATTACCTGAGCCCTAATTTGGTGTAAATAAGAGTAGTGGGTTTATCCCCACATGTTTCAGAGTAGTCCTCAGCAGGATGGGGGAACGGTGGCCTCTAGAGCATTCTGCTGGGACATTTGGTTTAGGATGCTGGATAGTAAGTGAGCAGTGCTTGTGCAAACAGCACTGGGATCAGTTGTTGGTGAGGGGCAAGTAGTTGGCTAATTGTTGCAATTAGTTTCTGTGCCAAAGAATTGGTTGGGGCTCCCACCTTTGTGCAGGGGAGGAGGGACAGGGACAGGCTGCACTGGGGTTTAGGTCCCCATGTTGTAGAAGCTCCCGCTCATGCGCTGCTCAGCCCTGCCTGCTATGGAGATGATACAATTCAAGGGATAGGAAATGGGGCCTCTGGTACTGGAGCAGGGACTAGAGGAAAGAAACTATCAGCAAATAGCGAAATATTTTGTCTGTGTCTTTTTTTTCAAACTTCTTCTGTCCCAAGGCAAGAAGCTTACTTGCATTTTAAGGAAAATGAGAGTCTATGTAAGACACAGATCTTTTGATGGTTTGCAGGGATGTTTTGAAATACTAATGAGATAAATATTTTTGTATGAACGTGCATGCAGTGATTATGTTATTTCTCCATTACAGTATGGGCTCAGAGCAGCTTCCTATCAATTGCTTATATCCTTGCAGAACATAGCACTTGAGTTCAGTTTTTTAAAATGTTAGTCTGAGTGATTCAGAAGTGTAGGGACCAAACCTGTAAACTCCTTTGAACCAAAAATGTAACAGCAAATGCCTTCAGGGGTGCATGGATGAGTGAAACTTAAACTGGAGAACAAAGGCATATAAAAGCAGAGAAAGGGAAGGAGCCAACAAAGGACTAAACGGTTTCCAAGAGCAAGGGTTCAGAAAGCAGATGAATTGGTTTCTGTTCTCTCAGGTTAAGTGATGCTCATTTTCTTTTCATTAGTAGCCATGTCAGACACTCAAATTTTGCAGCACATGATGTGAAGGCTACTTGGCAATTTGCTGCGAGTGAGTCGGGTTATGTGGAGTTGGTCCATAATAATTTTTCATAATATTTTTCATGTAAGGTACTGGCTTTGTCAAATCTGAAACATCCTCCAAGACTCGAAACATTGATTTTGGAATTTATTTATAATTTCTTGTCTGTTGGAAGATAGAATTAAAAATAAAACTTTGAATATCCATTCCAAAGAATTAAAGTTCTTGTTTGATGGGAAAATTTTTGGTCTAAGTGGTAATCTCTGACCAGCCACAGAGCTTTAGGGGGTCTCTAAAACCCTTCAAGCCCTGACTTAATTTTTTTATTAGAGAGCTGCTAATGCACTAATTTTATCAGAAACCTGTGTTAGCTAAACTGTGTTTGCTTCTCTTCATTTTCTATCAAATAAACCTTACCTTAAAAACAATAAATATTTTTTCATTAATGTGGTCTTAAAAATCTGTCCACAGTTATTAAAACCCAGATATTTCAGAAACATTTTTTTATTTTATAGTTTTGCCCTTGTCTTTGTAAAACGATGCATGAGGGTCCAGACAGGCCAAGGTAATTTTGGGGTTTATTCTCAGTTATTTAAGCTGCAGCAGTTGCAGTTTCACAGGGTTCATGGGCAGTTTTGCTTCAGACACTCTTTGGTGGGCTGTGTCCAGGAGCTGCAAAAGACTCTCTAACTGTATTTCTGTCATGAGCTGCCTTCTGTGTATGTAGAGGTTTAACAGAAAATGTTCTGAATTGCATAAATTGCCCTGTCTCTATATAAGCACTGATTCAGCATCAATCAAGAGTTAAAACTATCTGGCTGCAAGCTGGTATCTGAGGGACTGATGTTACTGCTAATTTCAGCAGCAGCAAATGTCTAACCATATTTGATAAAAGTAGGTTTATTTTAGGGGAAAAACCCAACCAAACAAACAACAAACCCTACCTTGAAAATCACCATCAAATCACCATGCATAGCTTGTTCATTAGTTGCTAAGTTTTGTTCTGTAACTGCTGCTCATTAAATGTAATGCTTTGTAACCAAAGTCATGGGGGCTGGAGGGGGCCTCGGAGGGGAAAAAAGAAAAGTAGTTAACCTGCTTTTGCCACTGTTTCTTCCTCCTTGTATTCTGGCACAAACAATAAAATTAGTTCACCATTCAGGCAGCTCCACTTCAGTTGGTGTTTTTCTCTAAACAGTGCATTTTGATCAGGCTCAGTACCAGATGTATGTCCAAAAGTCTTTCATTCCAACAACAGAAAGCGAACCCTACCCTGAGGAATGTTTTAAGGCACTACTTTCCGTTGTCTTAGAAGCCTGGGTTCAACAGAAGACATGTCTTAGCTGATTTCTGTCCCTTTCCTGTTAACCCAAACAACACAGATAACAAAGAACAGAGGTGTGTGGTGTTTATGAGATACTTTGAAATTTGGGGGAGGGAACAGGTGATTCTTTTTTACTTTGTTTCTACTGGAGGCTTTTCACATTTTTATATTTCATGTGTTCTTCTGCAGCAGAGAAATCTACTGAAGGAGTAGCGTATTTTCAGCCTTACTGAAGGGAGCAGATTCTCGGCTAATTAGTACTAGGGACTACTGGCTACTGTATTGTTCTGCTGTATTGTGTGGTCTGCATTTCTCTATTCTGATCCTAGGGAAGTAGGAATGATCACCTAAATGCCACAGAGCAGAAGACAATGACATGGGAGCTGCTTGGTGCAGGTGACCAGGAGTTAACTGTACCCTGGTACATGCTGCTTGTACAAGTTTGAGCAAGTGCCTTTCTTAAAGGATGCTTTTGGATTATTAACACCCTAATAGCTATAAAGGCTTAATTCCAGAAGGAGGTGGTCCACAAACAGCTAAATAACCAAATCTGTCTTTATCACATGGGCTAAACTAGATGTGTCTACCTCTTCTTGATTCTTCTGGTTTTGAGATGATTTATAGTACAATGGAGTGGACTCGTGACTATCCAGCTCACTTCAAGGCACAGCAGTCACTCTATGCCAGCACTTTGCCATTGCCATTTCAGCAGTTACCAGGTCTGATCCACCCACCTGACAAATCCTGTACACCCCTTGCTGTTCATCTTAATCAATCCCAGGTTCTTCCTATCTCTGCATATAAAATGCCTATTTTTTCTTGTACCAAAGCAATTCTTTGTAATATTCAGTACGCAACTGTTTGAGCAATTGTTTCAGCATGATTTATCATAAGCATCTGTGTTTATATTAAAGCTTCATGGAATTCTCAGAACTTCTACATTTCTTTTTTCAACATGAAAAGCTCTCAGTGATTCTATGTACGACATACATAATGTAACCGAATTTATCAGCTCAAGTAATGGGGAACTAACAGAGAAACAGCATTTCCTATGTAACTATCCTTTCAAAGGATAGTTCTGCAAAGCACTGATTGGAAAAGCAATTTGTCAAAAACAGCTTGTGTAATGGGAGGGTGGTCTCCAGCCTTCTTTCAAGTCAGCGGGGAATGTTTTTCATGTTCATCTTGCATATTCAGAGGCAAGGATGATGAGCTGTTGTGGAGTCGCCCTGCAGCTGCTGCTCTGTTGTGCCTGATGAGTTCTGATTCGCAGCAATTGCTTTTTGAGCCTTGCTGCTTCTTCACGTGTCTCTTCAGATAACATTTTATGGAGTATTTGAACATCAGATAACTCAGTTCACTTAGATTTAATACAATGCACAGGCATGAAGTTGCCACTAGAAAATAGAGGAAAATCATTTTCTCTGTGGGTTTGGAAATATAACAGTCTACAATATTGGGACATGGTTTTATGTCACATTTCACAAGATGTGGTATTTTGAATCCGTTGTACAATTTATAGAACAGAACAAGAAAAAATATTTCAAGTCCTATTTTTAAAATGAGGCTGATTAGGTAAGTGCACAGCAATCCACCATCTATCTTTCCTGGATTTTTGTAAAGTTTCTGGTTGTGGTGTTTCTCTCTGTTCTGTCTGTAAGCAACATGAAAGACAACCAAGAGTGAAGGGGTGGAGACCATGATTAATTGCAAAGCCCAAAATCTGATGTGAGAGACAGGGAAGAAATGGTCAAAGCAGACATTTTCACAACCAGGCTGCTTGATATTGCACTCAAATTCATCATGTTCATGTTTCCAGATGTTTTCTGCGGCAGCAACATAAAGCAGTAAGCGGAACAGGAACACAACAGCTACCCAAATTCTTCCAATTCCTGCTGAGTATTTATTCACTCCACTCAGCAGATCACGTAAGAACACCCAGCTCATTTTTCTCCTCAAGGAAAGATGGAAGTGCTAAATCAAAGAAACACAAGATCAGAGAGATGCATCCTCTTGGGTGAAGACAAATGAGACATTCATTCAACATGAAATATAACCAGTATCTGAAACAACTTAAAATTATTAAGCATTTAAAAGTAATTTAATATTACGAAGCATTTAAATAATAACAACAAGCTGTTCTTATTTCTGATAATTTAATAATTCTGATACATTCTGAGGCTATTGAACAAAATTTATTTGCTGTTTAAATATATTTTGTCAATTAGGCTGGAGTCTAATCATTCTGTTAAGCTGTCCTCTGTAAGAAATGTGCCTGTTCTCCCTGAGGGTCTCCTGACTGTCAGGTAGAGCTTTCCCTGGCAAGTTCAGGCTGGCACTACCACTGAACTACACCCAACTTAGCCCTGTCAGTTATGCAGATACTACACACAGTCAAGTCAGATTTCACTTTCACATTTATGCATAGGAACCAAGTGTCCCATACTAAGTTGACTGCAAAAATGCAAATTGATTGCTTTTTGTCTGTGGTCTAACTTATGGGTAAACTTGTGCAATATTTTAAATATTTTCCTGTTTCATTGGATTTTATTTGTTGTATTTCTTACCATTACTCCAAAATATGTGTGCACATTTTGTGTGTGTGTGTGTGTTACAGTTTCTTATCTGCACAAGCCTTCCCCTGTCCTAACTCTAGAACACTTCTTTTGGAAGAGCTACCTAAGGAGCCACTGGCAGGGAGACTCATCAGAGCCAAACGGAGACCTGAGGCACCCACCAAGAACATACAGTCACCATTGCACCTGGCCCCATCTCCGGGTCTGACTGGATCCTTGGGGGTGTCAAGCTCCTTTTTTTGTAAGAGCAAAAAGTGGATGCATTCCTGGCACACAGAGTAGCTGGGAAACACGAGGTGAGGATGGAAATCAGAAGTTTCCATGTGTTATGTTATTTAATGTCCTCATGGCAACTTCTGCTTCTGCAAGCTCTGCCTAGCAGGAGAGAAAATGGACCCCTCCGTGGCTGCAGGGGCACGCACAAATCCCACTGACGCTGCCGTAGCTGCAGGTACTGCTGATGGAAAAGTTCATCAGCAGGCAAGTTGGAGTAGTAATCAGGCCACAGCATCACAAATCTTCATGAAAAGGTATTCAGGCACTGGAATGGGCTGCCCAGGGAGGTGGTGGTGTCACCATCCCTTCAAGGTCTTCTAGAAATGACTGGACGAGGCATTTAGTGCCATGGTCTGTTGACCATGAGGTGGGCATCGGTCAAAGGTTGGACTCAATCTTGGAGGTCTTTTTTGACTCAAATGATTCTGTGATTCTCTAAGGCTCAACACACATGGAAAGCTCACTGCTTCTTTTGCTGTCCCTCGTTCTGCAGCTCTATGGTCAGGCTTCTGCAGGGAAGCAAGGTTATTTGGATAGTCCTGCATTGCTACCATCCGAGCTCAGCACTAGCTTGAGGAGCTGAGGGACAGCTGCAGAAATTTATATATTCCTGATTTATACTGCCAAGAATGGTTACCAAGCTACTCCTTTATGCTGCAGATAAGAAAGATAACAGGGAAATACCAGCTTATATCCTTTTAGACATATGCTCTTATGCTTTTAAATATGTTTGGCAGTGTTGTTACTTCTTCATTAAAGAGCTATTCCTGTCTTCCACACACAAGTGTGGAAGAGTTCAAGCAGAAGTTTAAATCAAACTTTTGAAGACATGAGCTTCAAGGCTTTAATGCTTTCTAAATAAACAATACAGTCACAACAGTCTCAAAGGAGTTGAACAGCAAACATGAACACACCACCACTAGTGGTATATATTACCACTATGTAATAAATCACAGGCAAGGAAACACAGCATTCACTGAGCAATGTTAGCATGTGCATCTTGTGGATGAGCTGTCCTCTGGAGATTTGAAGGAAAACCTCAAGAGACCTCTTCTACAGCTTTAAGATGCACATATGGACTGTTGGAGGGAATTTTGAATTTTGGTATTCCATGGAACACAAGCGTGGCTTTTGCTGATGGCCGCGATAAGTGCACCATCCTTTTCTAAAGTAAAAAAGCCTGATTCCACCTATAAATCCATGGCTGGAGTTCCACCAGTTCTGAGCCTCCAGGTGACAGAAATGAAAGATACGCTGGGTCACCAGCAAGGCACAAAAATCAGTGGGAACCAACACTGGTGGAAATCAGGCTGTGGTTATACCTAAATCCAGATTGAGAAATTTACCTCGAGGTCTCTTTTTCCCAAAGCTGAGCTGCTACTTCCTTAACTGAGCAGCAGGAGGGATTAGAAAATAACAACTTCACACTTTCTTTGCCAATCCCACATTGAGAAGAACAAAAAAGGAGGGTGAGAAGTCCTGACCAAAGAAAACAGGGACCAGGAATTTGACTAAAGTCAACTGATCCTGAGCAAGGGGCAAAGTCCTGCTGGACAGAAGATTGGATGGATGAAATTCCTGCAAAGCTAATTTGAAAGAGAGCAACACATTCTGTAAACTAGATGTTTAGTAATAAGGCATCAGGGATTCCACAGAACTGAAAGTGATTCCTGGTCTGTGTGCTCTGTTGAAGAGAAACTAAAATTTATTGAAGGACTGCAGGGCAGGTCTTGTGGCCCACAGTGCTTCTGCAGCCAGAGGTCTGCAGAACTTTATATTTTTCCAGTCGTAGCCTTAACCTGATGATGAGGAACGGCTGTAGAGAACAACCTTCAGCTTCAAACCTAAAGGGCCACAGAGCCTCTTTTGTAATATTGTTTGTAACTAGCACAGCTCCCCTGTTCAAAGGAGCTGCAAATGTGCTTTGGAAAGGTTATGTTTGCTTTATTACCACTGTTGCTATAGATGTGGATGTTAACTGATGCTTTTGCATCCTTTGAAAATACAATTAATTCACTGAAGCATTGCAAAGAACACATGGAATGGAAAAACAAAAAGAAAATGGACTTCAAAGACAAGGAGTTACTCAACAGGTAAACAGGAGAAAATTGATTTATGGGACAGCACAGGCACAAGACTGATGAGGGGTCAAGTCAGCTCAGACTAGAGAAGACATATTAAGTGGGCTGTATGAAATTCAGAGCAAGGTGAGGATTCAGACAATGAAAAAAACATCATCTAGTAAACACATAGCTGGGCAGTATGAAAAATATGACAGTGGTATTTTGTAACACTTTAAGAAGTGGCAGTACACATGGCAGCAGATGCTGAGTAGTGTCAGAGCATGATGTTTTAGCAAAATTATATTCTGGCTAATGTAAGGACAAGAGAGGAAAAGTGCGATCCAAATCCTTACAACCAAGGAGAGATTTTAGCCTTGGAATCTGGAGAAGGTTCGTGTTGTGCGGAAAGAAACAAAGGGAGTCAAGAAGGGAAGCTAGCTAAAGAAATTGAGGAGATTGTGGGAAATGTAGATTACATCAATTTGTGTCGGGGTAATGTCCAATGCTGAAGCTAAAAATGAAATTACTCAAAGGTTTAAGAAAGTTACAAAAGCATTCAAGGGGGATCCCCTTGGCACTGTGGACATAAAGACCACAAAAGAGACTTGGCTTCTACTAGAAATTACCAAGGAGGCATTAGAGAGAGTTAAACAGTAGAAGATAGGTTATTTGCACCAAGTACTCAAGGAAACATTAAATGGAGCAAGAAGTGAAAAGCAGGGATTTGTGGTTAGACTTACTTCAATCCTCTGCTCACTACACACATGCACACCCCAGTTTGAACAAAAGCTGAAGATTAGAAATATGTTGATTTGTTTTTCTCATTACTAGCTGAAGTGTGAGTGGTAAGCATGAAAACAAGATTTGCCAGCCAGGAAATAGAGCAGATAATCTCTCTTCCTCATCACATACATCCTTTATTCCCTATATGGGATTTAAACACCCCCACCAACATACACATGCACTTTGTCCTGCTCATGAGAGGCACAAATTACCAGAAAAGGCTTCCCATCCTGTTTCCCTGACATGTGACTTGATTTTCCCCCTTGGGGTTGGGCACGTGTTCTGCTGAGCAAACAGAGTAACCTGAATGCACCATTAACTTCTGAGTGTGCTGAATGTTCTTTATTGAGTAAAGTGTTTGAGTAATGCTATTGTTGTTGAATATATTCATCAAATATTAATTTCTGTCATTCACTGATGCCTACAGGAGGTTGGCTAATGTGCATTGAGTAATGCATGCATTGAAAAGCACAGTGCTCAGAGATTTACTTCACCTAGATTTCAATCAGCTCTGCTAATTTAATTACTTTAAAAGCAGAAAGGGAATTTTTGTGTGGAGGAAAATGGCAGGCAGAAGGCAGTGACAGGAAAGTAAGAAAATGCAAGAACAAACTGAATAACAGGAAAGGAAGTGGGGAAGCATCCTAAGTGTTAGAGGCACAAAGGGCAGGCAACTTGGAGATCAAAGAGCTGGCAAATTACAGGAAGAAGGCACAGTATTTTGGAAAATGGAGATGGAACAGTGAAAAATAGGAGAAAGAGCACAAGCCTCTGAACAGTGGATCTATCAATTCTGTACAAGCAAGCTAAATTATCCTCACAGTTTGAGAGATGGAAGAGCTCTTTTTTCTGATCTAAACATTGCTGGGGAGTATTTGCTGCAGCTACAACTTATCTTTATTTATTTATTTTTAATAACAGGAAGAAAGAGAGCCATAAATAGTGATAAAAATTATAAAGAAGAGAGCAGAAGTCGAAATCACAGACGATATAGGACCATAAAAAAGCAGAGCTGGTAACAATCTTTAGAGTCCATTCTCTCCTTTATTCTTTACATTTCAATCAAAACATCATCACAGCACCTTTTTTTTCCCCCCAAACACCGAGGATTCTCCCAGTGAGGAAAATAAAAACAAGTACTGGCAAATGGTTTCCATAAACAACCAAACAAATAATGAAGCTTATCTTCAGGTGTTCATTTAGTAACTGCTTTTTGCCCTTATCTTTTCTGTTTGTTGATATTAGGAGGCACACATCCATTTTATGGTTGCTAAGTCTGTTTCATGGACTGCCTACTGCTTCCTTAGTGACTACCAGAGGTGTGAGGTCCACAGGCTGAGAAACGCTGATTTGCTTTGTTCTCTGGCCCTAAAAAGGCTTAGTTGTGCAGAAACTGTTCCTGGCAGTTCAGTCTATTCTTAAGCTGACGGAAGCTGCACTAGTCCCCTCAGCATGCTGCTCTCATTACCCAGTGCTCTGCTACAGAAGAGGAGGGATTCAGGAATCCTCCTGGGAACACCAAGGAACAGTACCACTTGATTCAAAGTCACAATACCAAGCTGAACATGTACCAGCTGTGCAAACTATTGCACATCTGCAATAGGGGCTGAAAAACTCTCGCTACAAGTCACTAACCTTGCAATGACTTTGCTTCTTGTTCAGTGCTGAGAGTGCCACGGTGATCTCCAGGTCCTTATGAGACAGTCAGCAAGAGAAAACAGAAAACATGAAAATTAACTTTGCCTTCTTCAGACAACTCACCTCTTTTTATTAAAATTTATTAAAATAAGTAAAGCTCTAACATTAATGTAATATTGACAGTCATTTTTTAAGGCTCTTCAAAAACAAGCCAGGTAGAACCTGACAACCCCAGAGCAAACACAGCCCTCCTGGGTCTGTGTCCTGGCCAAGCTGTTCACTTCTGCCATGACCACTGCTAGTCGTTGGTAGTGCAGCAAAGCCCATGGTTCCAAGGCTGATGTGAGCCAAAACTTTCCCACCTATTTCATCCTTCAGGTGCTTCCAGAGGAAGAAGAGGCCCCCAAATGGCAGAGGTAAACATACTGGCAATAGCTTACTCTTCTCATGTGCAGACCAAAAGTAGACACTGTAGATAATTTAGAATGAAATTCATTGATATGAACCCTTCCTTAACATGTAATGGGGAAAGGGCATCCTCTCCTACAAACACTGCCAATCTAGACAGAGAAAACAAGTGCTGTCAAGGGGCAAATGTGGTTTATCCAGCATCACTCAGCACATCAGAGGCAGAGCTAAGAAAAGAGCCATGGTCTCTCATAGCCCAGGCCCTTGCTTTCACCTGCCTTAGCTTGCTGATTCTAACCTCTCACTGCTCCATGCCTATTATTATCTTTTAACTCCTTGGAGCAAGAAATAAGCTCTTTGGTCCACTGGGAGATAAACCTCTAACTACTGTGATATTAAAAGCAGAAATAAATAGGGCTTAAAATAGACATGTGGTATGTAAAGACATTAGCCTAGATACCTATTTGTCAACCAACTACAGGAAGGAAAAGGAAACACTAGATGGAAGAGGGCTCAGCTGGCCATTTAGCACAATACTGGAGCTGGTTGATTTGGCTTTACATCTGACTTTCACATGGGTTTCTGCAGTGGCTTGGGACAAATCTCTTTTTTTTCCTGTGCTCCAGGATCTTAGTTGCCAAACATTCACTTTCCTGAAAATACAACTTGTAAACTATGGCAAAATCCCATCTTGTTTTGTATTTAGGGAAACCACAAACATCACTTAAAAAACCAGCAGCTGCTGAGTGTAATGCTTTGCCAGCTGCTAATTGCTGTGGTCTCTTCTCTGCAGCAACGAATGGTTTTTGAGAGGGCAGAAACAGTTCACTGTTTTCTTTGTTACTTGGTAAATACTGTATTTTTAAAAAATTAAGCTCAGAAGTAGCAAAAATTATTTAATTTTTAAAGCCATGATATTCCTATCTCACCTACATGACAACAACTTCATTTCTCATCACCTTCATGCCCAACAGATAACCCATCACTACCATGCTCTCCTGATGTAAACAAAAATCTCCCTCCACAGCAAATGACCTTCAACATTAATAAATATTATTGCTCCATTCAGGCTACTGTTACTATTGTCACACTTTAGTCAACTTGTAAAATAATAAAAAGAATTGACAAAGTCAAAAGATTTCCACTTGGACAATAAATTGTCACTGGCATTTAACTCTGTAATATGATAAAGTGCTGCAATAGTGCAACAAAAAGCAGATTATATCCATGGCAGACGGGACACTTGCATGAGGCTACTATCAATCCTATTTAATGTTAGAAAATCAACTTCTCATTCAGTGAAACTGTATTTTATAACAAGAAAATCTAACTTACCTGTACCCCAGTGAATGATTACAGGTGGATCCCAGCTTTCTAGTGGAATTAACAATCAACAGCTCATTTCTGAGAAAGGGAGTTACATTTTATGCCTGGAAAATGAGAACTGTTTATCTCCTAGGTAATACAAACTAAATGAGTGCAACCTGATCATCTCTGCTGGCACACGGCTCAAACCAGAACCATAAAGCAGCTTGTATCATCAGAAAGATATGAGGAAACTGGCATTTATTTGAAGTCGTAGGATTTATCTGCATCTCTTTTGAGCACTCATTGGCATCAGCTCAGATGCTGCACTCTGTGTTTTCACAGTAGCACAGCCTGAGGATATATGCTGTGAGCCTTAACTCACGCCATTTGCACTTTGACATTTTACATCAGATTTGCATTTTGTGTTCTCCTGGGCAAGTCAGCTGTCCACAAAACACATATATTCTCCCAACAATACATTACACAAATGTTCAGAAAAGCCTTTCACTTAGAATTTCAACATACAGTGGTTTTCCCAAGAAAGTGAAGCCTGGGGTTTTTTATTGAAATGTGTTTTGTTTACTGTACATGTAATCAGTACCCCCACTGGCCTACACAGCTGAACCACTCCCCACCAGGAAGCCTAGGACTTCACTCTCACTAACTGAGCAATGGAATAAGTGTTTATGTCGTGCCTCATGCATCTCATATCAGAGCTTTGGTGGCCGATTTCACCTGGGATGTGGCTGTTCTGCTGAGTAACATTGCAAAATATGCAGAAAGACTGAATTCCTTGCCTCTTAAATGAATTATTCACACTCTAATTGGTTCATAGTATAATTGAATTAGCTCAAACTTACTGTGGCTTTTATCTGGGAATTACACGTGAATGTTTGGTAGTTTTAGAGAGGAAACTATCACACATCCCTACACATGTGCCTGAACCTGCACCTTGGTACTGCCCCCAGAGAAGCTGATGCCTTCAGAGGGTGGCTAAAGGTGCCAGAGGTGGGAGCTGGACTGCAGGTAATGCAAAGCTTCCCAGATCCCTGCTGGCAGCTCCTCACTGGAGAGCAGGCAGTCTAGGAAGCTCCTGGGGTGTGTGGAAGGTAGCTCCCTGACACAGCTGGTAAGGCAGCTTGCCAGGGCAGCGGTCTGCTGGACCTGCTGCTTGCTGACAGAGAAGGGCAGGTGGGAGGTGTGGTGGTCGGTGGCTATCCTGGGCACCCCAACCACAAAATAATAATTTCTGGTCCTGGCTGAAGTAAGAAAAGGATCACCAAAGCCTCTACCTTGGACTGCCAGAGCATGGACTTCAGTCTGCTCAGGACAATGGCTCACAGAGTCCCTTGGGAAACAGCCCTTAAAAGCAAAGGGATCCAGGAAGGTTGGACATATTTTAAGTAGGAAACCTCAGAGCAGGCCATTGCCGTGTGCTGGAAGATGAGCTGGTGTGGAAGAAAACCAGCCTAACTGAATAGGGAGCTTTTACTGAAATTCAGGGAAAAAAAGAGTTTGTGACCTTTGGAACAAGAGGCAGAAAACTCAAGAAGTGCACAAGGATGTCATTAGGTTATGAAGAATAAAAATAAGAAAGGCAAAAGCTCAGCTAGAATTTGATTTGGCCACTGCTGCGAAAGATAATAAAAAGTGGTTTCATAAATACATTAACAACATAAAAAGGGCCAAGGAAAATATCCATCTCTTACTGGCTGCAGAGGGGAACACTGTAACCAAAGATGAGGAGAGGACTGTAGTACTTGATGCCTTCTTTGCTTCATTCTTCAACAGAAAGACCAGTGATCCTCAGGGCAACCAGTCTCCTGAGCTAGTAGTCAGGGACAGGGAGCAGAGCAGACCCCCTGCACTCCAAGAGGAAGTAGCTGGTGGACTGCTGAGACATTTGGACCCTCACAAGTCGGTGGGACCAGATGGAATTCATCTGAGGGTAGCGAGGGAGCTGAAGAGCTTGCCAAGTCCCTCTCCATCACTTACCATGAGCCCTGACTAACTAGGGAGGTCTCAGTGGGATGAAGGTTGGCCAGAGTGACTCATCACAAGAAGGGTTGGAATGGGGATCCAGGAAACTACAGGCCAGTCAGCTTGATCTCAGTGCTGGAGAAGGTTATGGAACAGAACATCTCGAGGGCCATCATGCAGCACATACAGGACAACTAGGGGATCAGACTCAGCCAGCCAGGGGGTAGGGAAAACCTACCTGACCAACCTCATCTCCTTTTACGACCAGGTGACCCACCCAGTGGATGAGGGAAAGGCTGTGACCTGACCTTCAGCAAAGCCTTTGAAACTGTTTCCCAGGGCATTTTCCTGGAAAAGCTGGCAGCCCATGGCTTGGACTGGCACACTCCTGGTTTAAAACTGGCTGAGTGGCCAGGTTCAGAAAATGGTGGTGAACGGTGCTGCATCCATTTGGCATCCAGTCACTAATGGTGTCCCACAGGGATCAGTATTGGGACCAGCCCTGTTCAACATCTTCATTAATGATTTGAACAGGGGGATAGAATGCACCCTCAGAAAGGCTGTGGATGACACTAAGTTGAGTGGGAGTGCTGAGACCCTCTACTTGAGGGCAGGAAGGATCTGTAGATGGATCTGGACAAGCTGGATCAACGGGCTGAAGCCAATTTTATAAGGCACAACAATCAACACTTCCATCCCTGGAAACGTTTAAGAAATGGCACTTAGTGCCATGGTTTAAATGGCATTGTGAAATACAAAGCTGTGTTTCGTGTCAGGTACATACAGGCAATGTGTGCATTTGCGATTGTAATATGTGTGGAAACTGACCATGGGACAGTTATAAAGATGAATTCTAACTGAGAAAAGTAAAGCATGGAAGAAGGCCTTTGAACCTATCTTTTGTTTGCAATTAACATTTATAAGTCTTAAGTTGATTTAGGAGCATTTGAATTAAAGCATTAAGGATGTTGCTTTTTGATAGGAACTTTCTGCTTGTAGTTAGCACTTAAAGAGTTTTGCAATAATAACCTTTTGAAGTATAATTTTAGAATATTGCTTGTACAAAGGATCTTTGAAACTGCAGCTTTAGAACATATAAAAAGGAAACGTGCTTATCTCACGCCTTAACAAAACAGTGAAAAGCAGCTTGAGAAAGGAAGATGAACATCAACTCAAGGATTTATGGTTTCGACCAAGGGAAGCTGGACATCACTGTGATGTGATTTACAGTCCTTGCAATCAAAAGGTGGACCCACATCTGGAGAACTGGACCTCACCAGATGGGATACTTCATCCTTCTTTTGGAAACCGGATCCCACCATCTGGGGATACTCCTTTCTGGGATATATCCTGAGAAAAACTAAATCACAATAGTGTATAGAATTGTGATGTAAAAATTGGGAATAGAAACCGCTGATGAGTAAAAATTGGGAATAGAAACTGCTGAGAAAGCTTATGGGTACCCCTATAAGCGCCTGTAAGCCTCAACTATGGGTGTGTAGTTGGCGGGAAAACTTCCTCCACTGTACCCAGCGCTGTATTGCTCATACTTTACCATATTAATCAATAAATTGATTGCTTGAATATTGGCCTAGTCAAGCCTCTCATTTATAACAGCATGGCAGTGTTCAGTGATTCACAGATCACAGAAACCAGAAGGGACCACAAGGACCATCAAGTCCAGCTCTTTAGTAAATGGCCCATACAGGGATTGAAGCCACAACTTCAGTGTTATCAGCACCATGCTCTAACCAGCTGAGCTCCTCTCAGGATCAATGATCTGGAGGTATTTTCTAACCTTAACGATTCTATTATTCTGTGTAGTGGTATTTATATATGAAAGACAACTGTAAGGTGTAGAAAATCTGAAGAGTTCCAGAATACTGAGTCAGATTCCCTTACAACAGAGTTTGTTCTGTTGAAACTGTGAAATTTCTACTCTCTGTAGTCTTCTTAGGAGCTGTATTCCCTGCCTGAGATTAAAAAGGGTGCCTACATTAGAAAGTATTTTAAGTTCTCACAGCTTAAACTGATTGGGAGTCCTGGTGTCAGAGGCAGAGATTAGTCCTGGTCTGTGCCTCCGCTTCCAACTGCCTTCCCAACTGCATTGCCCTGCTTACATTAGACTGAAAAATAAACTTCATCATTTTTTTCTTTTCTGGCAATGGACCAGGGAACAAAATTGGCATACTACAAAGCTGAGCAATTATGACATTGCATGCAAAGAAGTCCAGAGCAATTACAAGTGAAAAGAGGCCTCCCCTTGCCCTTCCTTTTTGGAGATGCAGTCTTAGCTCAAATTTGCCTTTAAACCCCATGTAAGGTATCTGGCTGTACATTGTTGTAGTGAGAAAATTCAATGCTGCATATGTTTCTCTGCTCTTCTTTTATAGTAGAAACCACCTTTTTCTTTCTAGAGGGGATGCTTTGAGTTTTGATAATCTGTTCCTAGTCAGAACCAATTTACCCACTCAAAAATGAAAGTAGAACCAAACTAAGTGCCTTTTTCCTTCCATAGTGAATTCAGTTGAAAAAGACTTATAAGCTTGATCAATGTTTGAAGAATAACAATTGCTTTAATCTTTGCTGGAAAGCACGGCTGAGTGATTTGTTTTGTCTCACAGAGACAGGGCTGGCTAACAAGTGTTATGGAAGACATACAAATAATGTTATGAAACAGAAGAGTCTTGGTTTTAAAAAGCATATTGCCTTAAAACTGTTTGGGATTGTAAGTGGTAGGGTCTCAAACAGTGTATGCTGCTGTCTGAAAACAGCTTTCTTTCAATGAGAACAACACAAAGGAGCAAAAGCTGCTGAAACTCAACATAAGGACTCTTGAGACTGACATGAGCAGAGCAACAACCACACAGAAAACCCTCAATAACCTCAATGCCACCCCTGTATAGCTGGTCTGTTTGTTTCTCATGCATTTATGTCCTTAATATAGCCATACTGCTTCACATGCCTCACTGCAACAACGATTACTCTCATCATTAGCTTTGAGCAAGGAGGGAAAAAGTACTTTTAATTACTAATTTTTGCCTTCTCTTCTCCCCCAGATTTGTTCAGCACAAAACAAAGTCCCGGTTGTCAAATCCAATTAAAATATTGTGAAACTCATGGTGCCTAAAATACTTAAAAATAATTTTTAAAAGTGAATTTCACATTCATATATAAAACTCTAACAAACATGTGATGGTAGTTGCCCCTCTCACTATGAGTCATACCAGTGCTGAAGTTCCAGTGTAGCTGCAAAAAGAATTTTTTCAGCCCACAACAGCTCTGTAACTGTGTCTCTGAAGCAAGGATAAGCTTATCAGTACCTTGAGGCACCCTATCTTTATTCTGAGGACAATGCGAGGCTCTGTTCTCGCGCAGTAGCTGAAACAAGCAGGAGCTGTGGGGTCAGCCAGCCGGGGCAGGCGGCGCGGTGCCGCTCCCCGCCCCGCACCGGGCTGGCGGCCGCACGCCAACCATGGATGGCTGCGGGGCACAGCGCCGGCTGCGCTCTGCGCTCTGCAGAGCCTCCTCTGCAGCTCGAGTGATAAGGGCATGTGAGCCTCAAGAAAAGCAGAAATTGCTGTTAGGTTGTGAATGGCTGTGGCACAAAGCACGATGCTGAATGCAGAATCCCAAAGGAATTTAGCTGAAAGGAAAATAAATCTCACTAACAGGCTCAGGTTTAGAAAAGGAAGGGGGTTTTGTGTGATTTCTTTTCAGGAGAGATACTCGGATATTAAGAGGATGGGTGACTCAGAAATGCCACAGATGTTTACTATTCTACACTTTTACAAAGCCTCTCCTATTAAACATACCAAACAACTTCATAAGACTTAATGGATTGAATGTTTCAACATCCTTTGGGGTCAGATGATAGCAACATAATATTCACATTAAAGAAAACATACAACGCTTTCCCACAGACATAAAGCAAAACTAGAAACAGTAAGCAGTCTAAGCTTTTCATCACTGCACAGTTAATCTGGTTAGTTGGCACATGCTTAATATATGCCAAGTACCAGCATTCACATCAAAGCCTAAGCCTGTTTCTACATCCCTCTCTGCTTCACTTTTTACACACAAAGCCTTATCCTGCAGCTCTTCACATGGAGAGTATATTCTCTTCAGCCAGTGGTGTTTTCTGTACAGTGTAGGACCTTCCCCTGTCAGTGATGCCTGGGACCTACCTGTCCTTTATAAGACAGGAAGTGCTAGAGACCTAACAGCAACCTAACAAACCTTGCCACCAATATATTGCAAATGTGTTCTGGAACAAACCTATCCTACCAAAATCTGGAAAAAACTGTCGTGTCCTTGGCTGACTTTGGATCAGAAGTTTTATCTGCATGGGTGGTGTAACTGCTGGGAAGGGGTACACGGGCCAATAAGTGAGTGTGCTTTCTCTCTGTTGATGTAATTCTTTTAGCTTCCAAAATGCGGGGGGAAGAATTGCTTGGGAGCTATATGCAGAATAACTCCTATATTACAGTAAAATATCACTCTTCCCCTCAATAAAATTAAGCTACCTTCCCAAAACCAAGCTCTTGCAAAAACCTCGCATTGGCTTCTTTCAATTAGATAAATACGAAAACAAACAAAAGCAGCTTCACTCAGATTTTCTACTCAATAGTTTCCAAACAAAATCAGCTGCATGGCATATGCCACCAAAACAATAGCTACCAGATTAGCAGATGGTATGCTGTGAATTAATTGTTGACACAAACCCCAGACATACCACTCAATCCTCTCCTGACACCTAAACTTATTTCCCTATTATTTTTCTCACCTCATTATATTTGCTCACAACAAGAAAAAAAAATTTAGATACTCCATCTGGATTTAGACATGAAAAGTTAACCGGCAATTTATTATTACTCTGCTGTCTTTCAAGGAAAAAAAAAAGAAAAGAAAAAAAAAGGCAGTTTGATTACTGCAGAATAAAAACACGGAACAAAAATCTCTGTGAGACTGGATATCTCTACATTTCATAGAATTATAGAATAATTAAGGTTGGAAATTATTTGTAAGATTATCAAGTCCCACTGCACACCTAGGGTCACTGTTTCCACCACTAAACCATGCCCACAACTGCCACATCCACATGCCTTTTGAGCCATTCCTGGGCAGCTTGTCCCATGCCAGACTATCTTTTCAATGGAGAAATTTTCCCAGTGAAATCCAAACTTCCCCAGTACAACATGAGACCATTTCCTCTTGTCTTGTCAGTTGTTACTTAGGAGAAGTGATCAACCCTCACCTCACTACAATCTCCTTTCAGGCAGCTGTACAGGATGATAAGGTCCCTCCTGAGCCATCTCTCCTCCAGACTGAAAACCCCCAGCTTCCCCAGTGTCTCCTCATGGGACTTGTGCTCCAAACCCTTCAGCAGCTTTGTTGCCCTTCTCTGGACATGCTCCAGTGCCTCAATGTCCTTCTTGTAGTGAGGGGGTCCAGAACTGGATCCAGCACTCGAGGTGTGGCCTCACCAGTGCCCAGCACAGGGGAACAATCACTGCCCTGCTCCTGCTGGCCACAGTATTGCTGATGCAAGCCAGGATGCCACTGGTTTTCGTGGCCACTTGGGCACACTGCCAGCTTGTGTTCATCCACTGCTGACCAAGACTTTTGTTTGTTCCCTCTGACCTCCCTAGCTGCAGTAAGCAGACACTCCACCGAAGTCCCCTCACTCACCCTCCAGGTACAGAGGAGTGTGATCCAGGGCTGGTGAGTCCAGAGCTACATGTGCTAATCCAGCAGCTCACTGCTGCTAAAACTGGAATATTGTCCATCACATCTCGGTTCTGCCTGCCAGTTACCTAAGGGAGCACTGATCTGTGTCCCTCCTTACCCTACAGGTATAGTTTTTTCCAAAATTTCAATTTTCTCCCCTACTTTATAATGTGGCTGAAACTGCCTGGTGGCATTGAAGGTAGAAAGGAAGGCACAAGCAGTCAGAGGCAACCAGGCTTTTCCTCTGGACTTCAAGCAATTTTATTAATTTTACTGTTTACAAATAAAAGGAAACAAAACATCATCACACAGCAGCATTTATGTAACCAGGAGTTTCTAGACACCCAACATCTTGGGTATGGATCTACACAACAAAAGTTGGACACTTGAAACATAGAATATTTTCCTGCTCAGCTGACTGTACTCCAGAGACTGTCTCCACATGAATCTTCCTCATTCCAGCACTTGGGATCAACCAGTTCTGGGCTCCTCATTTACAAACAGAGATATGGAGCTCCTGGGGTGAGTCCAGTGGAAGGAAACCAAGATGACTTAGAGACCTCAGCATCTCTCTCACAAGGAAAGGCTGAGGGAGCAGGGCCTGTTCGGCCTTGAGACAGTAACTAAAAGGGGATCTTCAGAGCGTCGGTCAGTCCTGCAGGGAGGCTGAGGAGAGGATGAAGGCAGGACTGGCTGTGACCATGGCCAGGTGCCAGGAGCGAGCCCAGCAGTGAAGTGCCCGTCTGATCCAGCCAGCTCCTCTTCCCATCTCCCACTTACTAGTTAGGAATGCTGCGTTGTCTTCTGTGCCCTTCGCTTTAAAAAGCACATCGAGGTGCTGGAGCGTGGCCAGCAAACAGCAAGAAGGCTCTTGAAAGGTCTAGAAAACATGTCTTATGAGGAACAGCCCAGGGAGCTGGGGTTGTTTATTCTCAAGAAGAGGAGGCTGAGGGGGCCTTTATCCATCGGCACAGCTCCCTGGAAGGTTTTTGTGGCCGGTCTCTTCTGCCGTGCCTGCAGTGACTGGACTAGAGGGAATGGCCTTGAACTAAGAGAGGGGACGTTTAGATTAGACATTAGAAAAATCTTTTTCACTGTTAGAGTGGTCAGGCGTTGAAGTATTTCCCTGGGAAGCGGTGGAGTCACCATCCCTGCAGGCGTTCACAAGCCCTCTGGATCTAGCGCTGGGTGATTTAGTGCTTATGGGTTACAGTGGTAGTGCAGGGTGGACGGTTGTACTGAATGACCTTAAAGCACTCTTCCAGCCCTGACGGCTGTATGACTGGGGAAACGCTTCCACAACTCACTTCCCCGCCGCCAGACGGATTAGGGGACAGAAGAAGCGGG